CCCTGGACGCGCCTCTCACTGGGGGTGAGACGCCGGCTACTGCACTGGTGTCAGTGCGAGATCAACTTTGCTGTGCTGGTCAAGGCTCTGGGTTCCTCCAGTGTCTCTGCTCAGCTCCTCTAGTGTTTTAGGGCTTGAATAGAAATAGCTTGGTGTGTGTGTGTGTGTGTGTGTGTGTGTGTGTGTGTGTGTACACAGCTATCACAACTGACTCGCTGTGTGTGTGTGTGTATCACAAATAGCGTATCTGTTAGAAATAGCTTATTGACCCCCTATATATGTGTGTGCTGTCACCATAGGTAGCTGATCCACTGCATGTGTGTGCCCCCTACTAATACACTTACTGAGTAAGACACGTATTCATTTATATAATAGTAATACTACACTATGGATTATTTGTTAAACACATTCTTGGTGCTGTATAGAACAGAGCGGAAGATGCAGTCCGTGTCCCGAGGAACTTACAGTCATATTACAAAGGGACACGCAAATACTCACATGCCTTGTGGATTTTTTTTTCTCCTTGCCAAAGGTAAAGGCACACATTAGAACCCTCTTAAACCAATACATGTTAAAACCAATCAACTTTCTTTGCTGTAGCTTGTAAATTATAGTCGTAATATCCCTTAATAACAAAACAAATTATGTGCCTTAAATAAAACAGGACTATTCAAATTCAGGAAACTGTCCCAAATATTTTGCCATTTCATAATTAAATAATTATTGGAGGGACAGATCTTAATTTTTGGCTGTATTTTCATTAATCTGATGTTTAAATGGCAACACTGTTGAGTCTGTTTTTTCAGTACATATGTAATGCTTGTTTTATTGAGCATACATACATTAATAGCATGTACATAAAATGAGTATGTTACTGAAAGCGACATGCTTATTAAAAGGCTATCAAACATCTTTTGGCTATTATATTTTCTTTACATATGATATGTATATTAATTATGGTCTTTTGTCTGTCTTGAATGATGTTAAGTAATTTCCCCATGGCTGGCTGGCTTTATTTTTTTGATCTTCACACTATCTCAGCAATCTAACCTGAAATTTGTAAGGACTGATTTTATAGAACAACATTTACTGGATTGGAAAATTTTGCCTCGGTTTCATTACTTCCCCCTAATAGATGTATACTGAATAGAAAAGACAAATCTAGTTTCTGACAAGGGGAGCCCTGTAGGTGCTAAAAAGACTTGTGGTTTTATCGTTAATATACATCTATTCTCAAGCTTTCAGACAAATCAGCCTACTAGATCAAGTCCTGTGGGAACCTAACATTTAGGATTTATTATCTAACCCTAACCACTGATAATTTACACTGGATAACAGTCTTATTGATTTTTTTCCCCCCTAAACTTCTTCCCCCTCCAGGAAAGGTGGCCCTCTGCTATTGAGATTTTAACTGAAATAAAAGTTGACTTGTAATTGCATATGCAAAAATGTTCACCAAAGATGTCATTGAACCTTGAGTATTGACTATCATTTGGAATATCCAGTATTGCTGGTTTCTTCATCTAATAACTGAAAAAAAATCTGTCTGGTGTTTTTAAACTTCCTGCATGTGTCATTATAAACTTTCAGATTTACAATTACAAGTAGTCAACTCAGTTTGTTGTAAATGGACATTTTTTTTGTTTCAAGGATATCAGCTAATCTACATTGAGGACACCCCTGGTTAAGGTATGTATTAAGTCTTTGATATGAGGAAAAGGCTTCACTATGATACTTTGGTTTAAGATGAGTAAAATGGTGTTAGAAAATTAAATCTATAGCTTTTCCAATTTTCCTAAAATTACAATGAGCGTTATTTCCTGTATGAAAGGAGATTACATGAACATGCTTTGATCATATGTTGTATATTTCAGAAGAGTTACGGAAATGTATGACAGTGAACTAGAGCTGAAATTTTCTTCTGTTTAGCTATATTTATGCTTTCAAAAATAATTATTATTTAATTTTTTTAAGTCTTAAATGTTGGGTGGTGAATTTTTATTCTTTTTATTTGTATCCCTTGTTTTCATTGTTGTTGTTCACCATTTCCTAAAGGAACATGTTATTCTCTGTGTAGCAGTAATACTAATATTCCCATCTAGCAAATTTAGGTGCAGGACCAGAGTGTTACTTTTGTATTTAATAATGTTAGAGTACTCAAATGGTTAAAATGATAACAATTAGTTGAGAGTAGTTAATTATTCTTTGCAGATTACACTTAATAACTGCTTGCCATAGGTTTGCCTGTTTTTTCTCAAGAAAGAAAAAGGCTCACTGATTGTAGTGGAGGTATTTATTAAGCAGAAAGAGTTTATTAAATTAACTGTGAACAAAGTATGAGCACCTTTAAATAGCTTTAAAAGATGAATGTTTAATGTTTTATTTGCTTCAGTCTGAAATTAGTTTTGTAGACACCACCAAATACAGGTACATAATTGCTTTATTATATATTAGTCTTTGGAATAAAAAGCAGAACAATTTGTATAAAAACATTTTAAAATGGAATTGATAAAAGCAATAAACATATTACTGGGGTTTGTAGCAGGAATTTCTTGCCTGGGGGGAGTGTGGAAGTTGGCTAGGTAAATAAAATAATTATTTTCTATGCATTTATCTCATCAACTAACCAGTAACAATATATAAAAAAATGAAATGAAAAATGCTTTATATCATGCTATGGAACCAGGATTTTATTAGTAAGAGAGTAAGCTGGTTGAAGCCTTTGATCTTAGCCGTTGTTCTTTAGTTAATTATGTTGGCTCAATTGCATAAAGGACACCATTAAGAGCTTTCATGCTTTACCAAAAGGATGACATGTCTCAACCAATGTAAGTCTGTCTTTCTGTTTCAGAGTTCACAATTTTCTAATTTGGCTATTGACATTTTAAGGATGTAATAATTTTGTGGTTTTTTTTAAATACTTTCCTACCTTTATTCTTTTGACTGTAATGCAACCTTGATTGAAAAACAGTTGTAAGCTGTAATAGAACTAAAAATTTCAGTGCTGAAAGCTTTATATTTTAGAGATTGAGTACTCCCTTGCTTTCTCCTTTTATTGCAGAGCTTTGTGAAAACATTCAAAAGCAAGTGGAAAACCAGACTAATCTATATATTCACTTAATACCATCTGAGAATTTTACAAATTTCTTTTCATTCCTGACTCTACAGGTCTTTTCATCTACTCGCTGCTCCTCATTTAACTAATTTCTCATAGAAAAAGTTAGGTTTAGTTCTCTATATTCAGAAAGATATTAATGCATTTTTTAAAATACAAACTGTTTGACCTTTCTCTGGCAATTCTGTCAGGATTCTGTGTATCTGCAGAATTCATTTTTGTCCAAAGTGATTTCTTTTCATTTCTTTGTGAATTATTTTATTGACTTTATCTGATTCACCTCATGAAACAGTACATATCTATAGAGATGTTTTGCTGCAGTTCCCCAAATAGTTCAGACTATATGAAATAATGAACATCATACAAAATCATTTATCAACTATCTAAGTGAAAACTTGGATATTTTCCTTTGTCAGAGATTTTGTAGTTTGCTCATTTAAAATGTGTACTTGCAAGTGACCCTAAAACCAGTATCTGGCCAAGTTCAAAGCAGCTGTGCAGATGGACACAGAAGACAGAAGGCTGAGTGAAATAGACCCTTTAGTCATAACAAGGCTGCTCTTGTTTTCCTGTCGATAGTAGAAATTCATGCCAGGCCCCTGTACTCAAAAACAATCTTGCAAATGTGCCAGAATAGGCAGTAGTGGCATTCTGTTATTAATATAAAGTTAAAATGTGTTAGGATTAAGTAGGATTGAACCCTCTATCTTGTCAATATTGTTCTCTACTTCTGCTCCATTCCTAGACTGGCACTATCCCGATGTAAAGGGTGCACATAGAATTATTATTCCTGCGTTAAGGACTTCCACCCAGAAACTGTCTTATTGGAAGTGTGTGGAGTTGTAACTGATGACTGGGGCCAGGTTATGATTACTTTTAAATCAATCTCTTGTTGAAAAAACTTCTGAAGTTGGCTTTGTTGCATGTAAAAATAGTTTGATTAGCAACATAAGGTTGGACAAAATTGTATCATGTTTATATATTCTGCAAGGGCTTTATGAATATCCAGCTATTGGGCCCAATGCTTCTCCCATTGTAGACTTTTCTGTGACAAATTAGTCAAATTCATATTGCAAATAAAAACTATTTTACTATTGAATTACTACTCCATTTACCCCATTTATCTTCAGCTAGTTACCTTCAGTTCGTTATTTAGGTTTATGTTGAGCTGTTAACATAACCAGACATACAGATTTTTGTCCTAATTGTGCAGATCAGGGCTACATTTTATTGGACTTTGCTTGATCCAGAGTAAGCCTTATCTCTGGCAATGGTGTATTTATTCTTTCTGAGAAAATCATGTTTACCCACTTAAAAATGATGAGCAAAAGCAGTTGATTAGGGAATACTACGAATTCTATTTCAGATACAGCTGGTGTAATTTTCACACCTGTATTTTAGGAAATCCTTTCAAAAATTTTTGTTTGTTTGTTTTTGTGTTTTCTTTCTCATTGTGAATATTTGAATGTGCCTACTATAGTCAGGAATCTTTATTTTTAGCCAGCTTTCTCTCTAACAGTGCAGACTACATCTGTGCTTGGAAAAAATATGTAAAATGGGTTTGGAGTTTTAAAATAAATACATTGACAGGATCTAATTTAATACACTGACTTTAGATTTTTTTTTTGCCTTTCCCCCCCCCCAAAAAGCTGCATAGGAGATGTGATAAAACGTTGTACAATGGATATATCACATGTAGTATCTCTTCCATATATTATACATATAATTGCTATTATTTAACTAGTCTGCTAATACTTGGCACCAGGAACTTAATTTTATTCTTTTAAACATTTATTTCTGCAAATGAAGTATTATAATGGTTGGATGTACTGCATTTTGTTGGTTTGATATAACGGATAACAGAATCTACTATAATTCTTCTCTCGTGTGTTAAAAGAAGCATCTGCATATTTCATAGACATGCACCATTGCCAGGCAATCTGGTGTAGTGGTTTAATATTCTGGCAATTAATTTCATAAGTTATTTCTATATATAAGGGCAGTATATCAGAATATTATAATTTGAATGCAACTATGAAGAGTTATCTGAGATTATTTAAATTTTATAAAAATCAATAGAGCTCTAAAGGCCAAAGAATGCTTTTTATTTTTTAACTGGAGTACATCCTACTAAAAGTTCTAGTGTGAAACATCAAATTAGCTAAAAACCTTTCTGTAGAAAATTACGAACATTTCACTAACAATAATTTCCAAGAGAAATGGACTCCTGAGAGCTAAAGTAGAAGACCATGGCATGGTGTGTACCCTTTTGACCCTCTTCGCACTGATCTGTTATCACTGGCAAACTCCCTTTCCTTTCCATATTTTATTATATCCCCTGCACCAATCATCATTCTGTAGTTACATTTGAGGCCTTTCTTCTTCTTCTCTGCCTCAGCTATGTACCCAGCACTTCAATTTTCTCAAACACTTTGATTTCACTAGAGTCTTCAGCCTGAATTGCTCACCAGGTCCATTTTTGCTGATCCTCCCCAACCCCAGTGCCTTGTGTCAGTACTTGCAATCCTGTCCTGTTCATTGCCTTAAGCAACTTGGCACCATTCATTTCTCCCTGCGCTGTTTGAATACAGATCAGAAATGGATCTTCAAATGCAGAAGCCAGTGCCTTAAACAATGTTGTGTGGCCTGGCTTCATATTCACTGTAAAATCTGGAAATCCTATCATACCCTTCAGCTTATAGTCACTGTGTCACTAAGAGTAATGTATACTCTCTTACAGTTCAAAAGGCACTGGTAGTCTTCTCATGCTTCCATGCCATTGTTTTTCTTATTTACCTACCCAGCTTTTCCCTGGCCAAATACAAAGACTATTTTCCTTCTTTAAATTTAAGGACCAGAATTTCTGCTACTATCCCCTCCATCCTGCTCCTCTCTACTAATACTTTCTCCTCCTCTCCTCCCCTTTTCTGTTTCTTTCTCACTTAGTGAAAATATGTTAGGAAACCACCTGTTCTCTTGCCCCCTCCTCATTGCCCAGTCACACATGTCCGTCTCCTACAGTTGTTCCTACACAACCACCACTGTCAATATTTATTCTCCATTTGGCACTTTACTTAAAATCTGCTGCTGTCCACTTCAGTATTAATTATTTATTTACTTGCACATAGATATTTCCAGACAGAAAAAAGAGAGGCACAGGCTCTGCCCCAGTTTCTTAAAATCTCTCTAAGAGCTTTATTTCTTCCTGCCGTTCTGTCACAGAGCACTAGATCTGTAAGGGACCTTGAGAGGTCATCGAGCCCAGTCCCCTGCCCTCATGGCAGGACCCAGAACCATCTAGACCATCCCATATAGATGTCTATCTAACCTGCTCTTAAATATCTCCAGAGATGGAGATTCTACAACCTCCCTAGTCAATTTATTCCAGTGTTTAACCAATGTCTCTAATCTTCACTTTCTCAGCAAAGTACAGTAAGTTTGCCCCCTCCCTCAATCCTTTATACCACAGCAATATTCATGACCTTTTTATTGTGATTTTTGCTATTACATGGAAACAGCCCTCTTCTGAGTAGTGAACTGTTCCTTTCTGTTAATTAAGGTTTTTCCTTTCTGA